TTTTATTTGCTGAAAAAAAAAAAAGAGTTAGGAATGGAATAAATTTTTTTGGAGGAGCCTCTAATACATCAAATTTTATATTTAGAGTCCTTAGTTCAATTGCAATTTTTTAAAAAAAAGTTCTTTTTTTTTTTGTGTCCTCATTGAGTGATGTTAAGTATTGTGGAATCATAATAAATTAATTAATTATAATCATTTATGAACATTTTCTACTTGATACATTTGAAAAAATAAATAAATAAATAAATAAACTTATTTAACTCTTTAAGCTCTTAAACTACATAATTTGTTAATTAACCCCAATGTTAATGTCAGGATATATACAACCTCATGTGCTCATTAATACTTTCTTAGCCAACTGCCTTGTCAACTCTTAAATCTAAACATGAATTTTTTTTTTTGAACATATTGTAATTATTTACAAGTTAATTAGGGATGGGAGAAAGGGTTTCTGTAGGACTCGAACGTACAACCCATAGGAGGTGAATAGTCTTAACTCAGGATCCAATGCCGTTGGGTTGAAGTGGACCGTTCAAATCTAAACATGAAATATTACATATACTTAATAAATAGAAAATAATTGGAGTCATATTTTACAAGGTTAATTCTCTATACTCACTCTCATTAAGTCCACGCAACTTCGATATTAGATTGAGGAAGCTAATGGGGCAATGGGCTAACGAAGCATAGATGGGAGTAATGGTCATGTAGTTACTTGATGTTAACTTCAGGCCTTATTTAACTAGTCATGTAATGTAGAGGATTCAATTATTGTAAAATAAGCTTAAGAGCTAAAACATAAAGGAAAACCAAGTTGAGGGGCCAATTATAAGATTATTTCGTGCAAATAAGATGACAACCGTGACACCACCACCGCCACACGCTTCCAAGTTCCAACAGCGGATGTATTTAGAATTGTTGTGAATTATCATAAGTTGTGGTATTATAAAAATTTTTATATTATTATTTAATATGTATTTTAAAAAATGTGTATATTAATATAATTATAAAATTATATAAACTATTAAAAAATTACTACATATCAATTCTAATTCTAAAAAAAATTAGAATATTAATTTATATTTAAAAATTAAAATTGATACATATTTTTAAAATGTTAATTAAAATTAATTTAATATATTAATAAATAACTATTTTTTTACTCGGTAATACGTGAAAAAATGATATATGAAATGGTCCTCTAGTTGAAACACAAAAAAGGGGGAGAAGGTCATTTAGGTCTTTTCACCAACCACCGCTAAACCACCGCTAAACTCTTCTTAAAAACGCAACACTACTCCCTTCTCCACCTGTATCATCCTCCATTTCTAATTTCTCACTTCTCTCCTTCGCCGGTTTCCCCGTCACCGGAATCCATGGATCCAGTTAACGACTGGGGCAATTCCTCTCTTGAGGCTGTGGACCCTGAAATCCATGACCTCATTGAGAAGGAGAAGCGACGCCAATGCCGCGGGATCGAGCTCATCGCTTCCGAGAACTTCACCTCCTTCGCTGTTATTCAGGCCCTCGGTAGTTCTCTCACCAACAAGTACTCCGAAGGCCTGCCCGGGAACCGATACTACGGAGGGAATGAGTTCATCGATGAGATCGAGAACCTCTGCAGGTCTCGCGCCCTTGAGGCCTACCGACTCGATCCCACCAAGTGGGGGGTCAACGTCCAGCCTTACTCGGGTTCCCCCGCTAATTTCGCCGCCTACACGGCAGTCCTCCAGCCCCACGACAGGATCATGGGGTTGGATTTGCCATCCGGTGGTCACCTCACTCACGGGTACTACACCTCTGGAGGGAAGAAGATCTCGGCTACTTCCATTTACTTCGAGAGTCTGCCTTATAAGGTAAACTCGACAACTGGGTACATCGACTATGACAAGCTGGAGGAGAAGGCCATGGATTTCAGGCCTAGGCTCATTATTTGTGGTGGCAGTGCGTACCCCAGAGACTGGGATTACGCCAGGTTCAGGGCTATCGCCGATAAGGTTGGCGCCCTTTTGTTATGTGATATGGCTCACATTAGTGGACTCGTTGCTGCTCAGGTATGTTTGATTTTGGTTTCTCTTGCATGCTGTAGGTTTGTGGTGTTCGATCTAAGTGTCTGACATTCTAATTATCTAAATTGATTGAATTTTTATAGATTGGATCTGGATTCTAGGATTTTAACATCGTTTTCTTTCTTATACTGGAATTGTGTTTAGCTAAATCTTAGTACTTTTGTTGCTGTTGGTGGTTTCTTGTTTGTGGGTGTAGGAAGCTGCAAACCCCTTTGATTACTGTGACATAGTCACAACCACAACTCACAAGAGCTTGAGGGGTCCAAGGGCTGGCATGATCTTCTACCGCAAGGGACCTAAACCACCCAAGAAGGGCCAGCCAGAAGATGCAGTGTATGACTTTGAAGACAAGGTCAACTTTGCGGTTTTCCCTTCCCTTCAGGGCGGTCCACACAACCACCAGATTGGTGCTCTGGCTGTTGCCCTGAAACAGGCTATGTCACCTGGGTTCAAGGCCTATGCTAAACAAGTGAAGGCCAATGCGGTTGCCCTTGGAAATTACTTGATGAGCAAGGGATACAAACTTGTCACTGAAGGAACAGAGAATCATCTTGTTCTTTGGGATCTTAGACCTCTTGGCTTGACTGGTAAGTTAATGGGATAACTTGTTCTGAGGTTCTGCCATTCTAGATATGGATTGTATTGATGCAGTTCTGATGCATTGCCATTCTCCTTGAAGGCAACAAAGTCGAGAAGCTTTGCGATCTCAGCAACATCACTTTGAACAAGAATGCTGTGTTTGGGGATAGCAGTGCCTTGGCTCCTGGAGGTGTACGAATTGGTAAGAGCAGAATGATAAGTCTGATTAAGAGCTATTTAACATTTTGTTACTCTTTCAATTACATTGAATTATGTAGAATATGCTGCAGTGAAATTGTAAGTTATTCGTAATGGCAGTAG